GGAGGAGATACGGGAGGAGAACAAGGAGGGAAACGAGCTGGAGAAGAGTCTACTGGAGGAAACACAGGGCCGTAGACCAGCAGAGGAGGAGGCCGTGGCGAACGAGGAGGCACCAGCGGGCGGTCAGGAGAAGCAAGGCCGATGAGGCGAAGAGCAGAGACCAGCGGCAATGACGATGACTGCTGCCCGACGCCAACACCAGAACCTCCAGCAGGACCACGGCTTCCTCCAGGAAGCCCCACGCCAGGACCCCCAGAATGGGAACCCGCTCCAGTAGCTGCTACTGTACGCTCCCCAACACCCGCAGAATGCACAAACCCCAGTGGCGGTGACGACGGCGGCTGCAACGGCTGTGGCGACGGCAGCTGGGGAGGCGGCTGCAGCTCTGGCGGCAACGGCGACATGGGAGGAGAGATCGGGGAAGGGATAGGCGGAGGAAGGGACTCCGCTGAGCCGCGAGAGTCAGCAGACCCCTCGACAGGGACAACTGATGGGAGGGGGGTGACGTGAGACACACCAGACGCGGCATGGTGGGGAGGAGGGGGACAGGGGCGACCGGGGGAGGGGGGGAACCAGGAACTGGGGGGGAGTGACCGGGGGACCACGGTGGGGAAAGCGGTGGTAGAAGGAGGCGAACTCATCAAAGGTAACGTCGCGAGAGTGAAAGAAACGGTGAGACGGTGGGTGGTAGAAGTGCCAGTTAGACGAGTCGAGGGGGAAACCGAGAAAGACACAGGGGACAGTACGGGCAGTGACCTTGTCCTCGCCAGAGGCACGGACCTGAGCAAGGCAGCCACAGACGTGGAACGCAGATGCGTCACCAGGGGACCCGGTCCAGAGGAGGGTCGGCGAAACCTGCGGCCGCTGAGGGTGCGGCTACAGATTAAGCTAGTGGGCAGCGTAGCGAACGCCGAACGGCCACAGAAAACGGGGTGCACCGGCATGGATCATGGAGGTATGAGCCACCTTCATGACCAAACCGATGCATCACTCAGCGACCCCATTCTGCTGTTGGGATTCCGGAAGGGTGTACGTCTGGGTGATGCCCTCGGCTGACAGAAGCGACCAAGGCAGCCAGAGGCAAACTCGCCACCACGGTCGGAGGGAAGACGCAACACAGGGAGACCTCAGTGCACACGCGCTGAGACAAGCCACGGGATAAGAATGCCAGGCACGTCGGCCTTCCTCTCCAGGGAAACATGGTGGTGTAGCGGGTGTAGTCGTCGACAAGCACTAGGAAGTAACGCTTACGACCTGGCCCATGGACGGGGGCAGGGCCCTAGACGTCCATATGCAGGGTCTGTAACGGTGCAATGGTGGGGGGAAACGAGGAGGAGTGAGGGGCATGACGGAGCCGGCCCTCGATGCAGGGGGCGCATGGAGGCGCTGCCGAGGAGGGGAGCGCAGGGAACGACGTAGGGAGACGTAAGACAAGAGCGTGCTGTGGCATGTGACTGAGACGGGTGAGAGCGGGGTGACCGAGACGGTGGTGCCACAGAAGCGACGGGTGAGTAAGCAACCAACACGAGCAAGCCGCAGCAACCTGGGTAGACGCGACCACCTGAGGGGGCGTCCCAACTGGGGGGACGCGATGTCCAGCGTGAACAGGCCAGATATCGGGTCCCGGGGGAAAGTGGTGAGCGGGGCACCAGTAGCAGCCTCGGTACAGACATCGTACCTCTCGTGACCACTTTCCCCCGGGACCCGAGGTCCTAAAGTCAGCCAACACCAACTAGATTCCAAGAGAACGAGGGGATGTGTAGGCCTGTAAGAGAGCCAGAGGGAATTGCTGGATAGGGGAGAGTAGTGGAACTACGGGCGACTACCGGACCTAAGGAAGGATCTGCAGGGGTAATTACGGCAGGGACGGCGAGCGGCGTAAGCGTAGTGTGGTCCCAAAAGAATCACCGAGATGCGCCCGAGTCGAGAGTGAAGGAGAGCGCGGCAGTGGCGGCTGGGGGCGGTGGAGCTAGTGTGGAGCCAAGGCTAGACAAAGCAGAGGGTCCTACGCCTGAAGTAGCAGGGGAGCCTAAAATAGGCACACTGGAGAGGCCTACACTAGGCAACAGGGTAATTGGAACCAGTCACACTAGAGTCATCAACATACAGCACATACAATGCAGAGCTAATCTCATCCATGTCCATATCAAAGATGCTAACACCAAGGCGGAGCAGACTGTGCCAGTCGGGGAGGTCCGGCGCGGGGCCGAAGCAAAGACGAAACAGGTCGTCCAAGCGGCTGAAATAGTGAGTGGGGGTATGACCGGTCTTACCGCACACAAGGCTGCGGCGAGGACAGGTCTGGAGCTGGTACTGGCAGCGCCCGTCACTCGCACCACCACCCGACGCCGAGCTACATGCACCACCACCGCCAAGCTACCTAGGCAGGAGGTGGCCGACCCTCCGCTGCAACGGCTGCTGCTGCTGCCGCTGCCGCTGCACCTGCTGCTGCTGCTGCTGGTCAAGCTGTGGCGCCTGCTGCTGTTGCTGCTGCTAGTCAAGCTGTGGCGCCTGCTGCTGCTCGCGCTAGGGCTGCTGTTCTGAGGCACCAGCCCCAACCCCCTCGTATGTACTACGGCCAGCAGACGAACCACCTCCACCACCACCTCCACCCCCTCCTCCACTACCCCCGTGGCGCCCAGCCTTGGGGCGGCGAGCCTTACCATAACGGGACTGCACTACTGCCACCGCGGTAGCGGTCTTAGCAGTAGGGGCTGTCTCAGCTACAGCCGCTAAAACCGTCAGAGTAAGAGCACTGGGCGGGAGCACAACCCTGAGAGATAGGGACCGGCGCAGTACCGCTAGAATGGGCGATGGAGCGCTGACGGGTCTCTATGGCAGACAGGGTGTCGACAAAGTCGGAGAGGCTGAGGTCAGCGGGGTGCAGACTAAGAAAGTGGTCGCGGACAGTGGCAAGGCGGTCGAGGAGGCGGGTGGCAAGCAGGTAAAGGGTAAAGTAGATAGGGGGCTAGAACACATGAAGCTGGGCCTCAGTGCAGGCAGCACACCTGGAAGCGTCGAGCGTGCGCAGTTGCGTGGCCAGGTCAGCGACAGTGAGGAAAGATGCGAGATCAGGGAAGAGCATGGGAAGGATCAGGCGGCCGACAGAGGTAGAGGACGGGGTGGAATAACACGAGACAACAGCCTCTAGGAACTCCTGCGCAGTCCTGACCGACTTAAATCGAGGGCGCTCAGACAGAGTGAGGGCATGGCTGATTGCGAGCTGAGCGACATCGTCACGTGACAGCAAGACAGCACGGGCAAGGGAAGCAGCAGCGGTGGACTCACGGTCAGCAGAAGGGAGCGTACCGTCAATGTGGACGGCCAGGGAGTGGCCGTCCTGCCGCACCAGTGAGGTGACGGCGGAGATCGACGAGCCATGAGTCGAACGCAATCGGCTGACCCTCCGAGTCAAAGCACAGCACTGAGTCCGCCATGAAGGCCGCTGCAGCCGCGAACTCACGATGACGAAGCGACGAGGAACATTGGATGGAGTGCTGTATGGTAGAGTGCGGTGGGGCGCGGTGCGGTGCGGTGGGGAGTAGTGCTGTGCGGTGCAGAGCGGTGCAGCACGGTAGAGAGGGCATGTGATGCGGGCGGGGACCGGGAACCACGGCAGCTGAGCAGTTGGGAGACACGGCCGAGGGGCGGCCGGGCGACGGGACCACGGAGCATCTGGGCGATGGGTCGCGGGTCGGCTAGGCAGCAGGGCCGCGGGGCGGCTGGGTGGCGAGGCCGCGGTGCAGAGGGGCGACGGGCCGCGGGGCGGCTGGGATGGCGGGGCCGCTGGGCAGCTGGGACGACGGGGCCGCGGGGGCGGCTGGGCGACTGGGCCGCGGGGCAGCTGGGACGGCGGGGCCGCAAGGGCAGCTGGGACGACGGGGCTGCGGGGCGGCTGGACGACGGGGGCCGCGGGGCGGCTGGGCTACTGGGCCACGGGGCGGCTAGGCGATGGGGCGGCTGGGCGCTAGGCGACGGGGCTGCGAGGCCAGCGGGACGGCTAGGCGCGACGTGGCGGGGCAACAGGGCCGCGGGCGGCTAGGCGCTAGGCAACGGGGGCCGACGGGGCCACGGGCGGTTAGGAGCAAAGGGAGCGGGGCCGCGGGGGCGAGGCGCTAGGCAACGGAGCCGCGGGGCCAGCGGGGCGGCTAAGCGCGACGTGGCGGGGCAACGGGGCTGCGGGCGGCTAGGCGCTAGGCGATGGGGGCCGACGGGGCCACGGGTGGCTAGAAGCTAGGGGAGCGGGGCCGCGGGGGCTAGGCGCTAGGCGACGGGGCCGCGGAGCCACGGGCGGCTAGGTGCTAGGGGACAGGGCTGTGGGGCCAGCAATGCAACGGGGCGGCGGAGCCCGTGGGGCGGCTAGGAGCTAGGCGACGGGGAAGGCTAGGACCTAAGGCGGAAGCGCGGGTGGGCGGGTGGGACCTAACCTACTCATGATACCATCTCAGAGTCAGTGCGAATGACTAGAATGAGAGAATAGAGGAGTATATAGCTACTCAGTTGTACTCTCTATGGCATGTCCCTATGTAGTCTACTAAACATACACAAATATGTTAGACACCGGTATCACACGCTAGGTAGGTCGCACCCATCGGCGCTTCTGCCCTAGCCTACCTTCGAGCGTGTTGTGTGATGTCATCATATGCTATCACATTCTGTCTGCCTCCCATCCCATGTTTTCAACTTGCATGTGTGGTTTGAATGTGCAAGCATTTGTGTGGTGTGTGTTCTGGAGTTTGGGAATGTGTTCTGTATTATTTTTGTTTGAGCAGGTATTTGTGATGATAGATCTTGAGAAGATCTTTCCGACGCAACAAGAATCGCTTCAATCGGAGCAAGAACGCGAAAGCTATGAAGATTCAAAGTTCATGAGCTTGCGTTACAATTGCGGCGGTTACTAAGTGAAGTTGTGGGGTGACTTTATATGGAGTTGGGACCTTTGGGGTTGGGGAAACTTGTCACTCTACTGTAACAGCTGCAAATAGGTTGGGAACAACCAAGCTAGGTTGGCAAGGGTGGCCAACTTGGATGGATTGGTTGGGAAGGGACAAAGGTCAAAGTTGAGGTTCCTATAGGGAGGGAATCTTTGTGCTTATGGGGTTTCCTTGGTTGGGGACTCTCTTGGGACCTTCCCTCTCATCCCTCTCCTCCTATCCCAACCTTTCTCTTGCTCCTTCTAATTCCTTGTGAGATTCTTGAACTTTGATTGAACCTTTGAGATTGAGTTAAGTTCTCCTCCTACAGCTTACCCCCTAGTGCGTCGAAAGCCATAGCGTCGCGAATACTTTATCAATCAACATGATTCAAATTGGGAACGGTAGCTGAGATTAGGAGCTACAACATATCCAAGTTTCGCGACATTCCAACGGCTAGTTGTTTGTCGACGTCGTTTCTTGTGAAGACGACTTTTCTGTCCAGAATTTCGGATTTATATTTTGAGTAATTCTAGCTCCTAAGTTCACCTAGACTCCGTCCTTAATCCTAACAAGTGGTATCAGAGCTGTATTAAGGACGTTGAGAGGAGTCTACAGAAGTGTGAAGACCCTTCTAGACCCACCATGGCCTGTGGGTGTGCCTAAGTGGTGTTCTAAAGGTTGGATGTGTCTTCCGCTAAGGGAAACTCTGCCGAAATTTCGTGGACGCCGACACTTGTGAAAATATCGAGGGAGCTGAGTGTGGACAGCAAAGGGGGGCTGAAATTCGTCATTTCTCAAGGAGAAGATGAATGAGAGAGGAGGAGATGCTAATGGAAGAGGAGCTGTAGCTGAGAAGACAAGTGAGCCGCCGCCATCAAAAGTTGAAGCTTTGGATGGCTCCAACTATGAGGAATGGAGCGGACGGATGAGAAGTGCCTTCAAACGCTACAAGCTACTGAAGATTGCTGTTGGGGAAGAGAAGATGCCGGAAGAAGGCGAAGCACGTGAACGGTGGATTGAGAAAAGCACGGTGCTTTTCGACCTCATCCTTCAATCGGTCAACAAGGAGATGTTCGAGCACATCAAGGATCTTGTGGAAGCGGATGATTCGGGTCCAAGGGCGTGGAAACTACTACGCGATGTGATTCAGCCCAACACTCTCCTGATGGTGATCGTGCTCGAGAAGGAACTTGCTGCCATCTCCATGCGACCAGGGGACGATGTGAAGCCGGTCCTTGACAAGATCAAGGACACCTATGCAAGGATGGCAGCAGCGGGCAGCAGTGTATCTCAGCTGCAGCAGTGCACCAAGATCATCTCGGTGTTGGACAACTCGTGGGATAACCTCATCCCCACCCTCAACTCTCAGCAAGATCAATGGACACCTGAGTGGCTAAGGCAGCAGATTCTGCAGGAGGACTTCCGCAGACGCCATGTGGGAGGCGGTGCTGCCACTAAGACTGCTGAGGGGTATGGAGCTGCAGGGCGCGGCAGAGGAAGAGGGGGTTGGAGAGGCCGAGGCCGTGGGAGAAGCTTTGGCAGAGGTAGAGGCCGAGGTGACTATAATGAGGGGCATGGGAGCTCCAGTGGCAGGGGGAGTACCAGAATGGAGGGCACCTGCTGGTACTGCAAGAAGGTCGGGCATCCTTGTTTCAAGTGCTTCAGCAGGCCGGAGGGATGGTCACCTCCAGGCATGAAGCCGCCAAGTGGTGAACGCGCACAAGGTGGCGCTGTGCAAGGCTCAGGTGCACAAGGTGAAGGTGCACAAGGTAATGCCTATCCTGGTTTGTTTCTTATGGTTGAGGATGTGCATGGGCATGAGGGTGATGTGGGATTTGTGGGAAAGGTTGTGATGCACCCTCTCACACACTGGGTGATTGATTCAGGGTGCACCAGTCACATGACCCCACGGGCAGATTTGCTTGATGAGGTAAAACCCCCTGGGAAGATCAAGTATGTGGCAGCAGCGTCAGGTGCTTTGCTCCCCGTGATTGGTGTTGGGAATGCCAAGGTTAAGGGAGCTAATGGGGAGCTTGTGGGGCTTGGGAATGTTCTGCTGGTTAAAGGCTTGTCTGCTAACCTTCTCTCTGTGCGGCGGCTGCAGAAGAGTAAGGCCGAAGTGACCTTTGGACCAACCAGCTGCCGTGCTAAGCTTGGGAAGAAGGTGCTGTGGAGTCTGGAAGAGGAGACCAGCTGCATCAAGGACCTGTGGCAGCTGCCCATCATCCCTTGGAATGGGAAGACTCCAACAGCAGCAACGGCAGCAGTGGCAAAGGCAACAGCAGGAGGAGATGCAACTGCACCAACTGATGGGGTCCTGGAAGCAGTCAAGAAAGTGCAGCAGCAGCAGACACATGGTGAGGTGCTTGCTGGTGTGGATGCGAGTGCGGCATGGGCTAAGGCTTCATCAAGGAGTGGAGAGGCCGATTGGGAGACATGGCATGAGAGGTTGTGTCATGTGAACTTCCCTATGCTGCAGAAGTTGGTGAAGAATGGGAGCCTGAAGGGCTTGGAGGTGAAAGGGGAAGTGAAGGAGATTGGGAGCTGCCCTACATGCTTGGAGACCAAGTTCTCCAAGTTCCCCTTCAACAGTGCAACTGGACCATCCAAGACCCCACTTGCACTTGTGCACATGGATGTGGTGGGGCCCACAAGAGCCCCTTCCCTCTCAGGCAGCCGCTATTTCTTGACAATTGTGGATGACCACACTCGGGCAGTGTGGGTTTACCCTTTGAAGAGCAAGGGGGAGGTGGCAGCGGCTGTCCTTAAAGAGTGGATGCCGAGAGCTCAGAGGGAATGCGGACACAAGGTGAAGGTGATCCGTAGTGACAATGGTGGGGAGTTCATTGGAGCTGATTTTGAGGGGGAGTTGAAGAGGAAGGGGATCCAGCATCAACTGACAGTGCCCTACAACCCACAGCAGAATGGCGTGGCTGAGAGGTTCAACAGGACCCTGCAGGAGGGGGCACGCACTCTCCTTGGGCGTGCAGGGCTGCCTGATCCGTTTTGGGTGTCTGCACTGAGGCAGGTCGCCCTTGTGAAGAACAGGGTGCTGGCTACAGTTGGAGATAAGGAGTGGATCCCATACGTCAAGTGGTATGGGAGTGCTCCAGCTGTGAACATGCTGAGGGCATTTGGGTGCATGGTAGTGTTTCATGTGCCTAAGGAGAAAAGAGGGAAGTTGGAGGCTTCTGGAAGATGGGGTGTGCACTTGGGGATTGCAAAGGATCACAAGGGATGGCTGCTATGGGACTTGACCACCCAGAAGCTGACAGTGTCAAGGGATGTGAAGTTTCTTGAGTCCCTGTACTACAAGGAATGGAAGCAGCAGCAACAGAAGCTTCCATCTACACCGCTCATTGTGGAGGCAGATGAGGTGCAGCAGCCTTCAAGACAGGTGGAGGTTGCAGTGTCAGAGGAGGAGATGTCTGGGGTGACTGAGGAAGGGGGAGCAGCTGAAGTAGAGGAGCAGCAGCAGCAGCAACATGAGTCTCCACCTCGAGTTCCACACCCGCCTGAGCGACCTAGGAGGGATGTGCGCCCTCCGGTGAGGCAAACCTATGGGGGAAGAGGCAAGCCGAATGTGGTGCAGGCTGGGAGTGTGGTTGAGCAGATTGAGGAAGATGAGATTGCATTGTGCTATTGGGCTGCAATTCCTCAGCCTAAGGTACTGACGCTAGCTTCAACTCAGTAAAAGCGGATGGCACCAGCATTGGGGGTTATGTGTGCTTGCTAGGAGGTGGTGCTGTGAGCTGGCCCAGCAAGAAGCAGAATGAGGTGGGATTGTCTTCATATGAGACTGAGTACATGGCCTTACACCATGGGGCCAAGGAAGTAGTGTGGCTAAGGCGTTTGTTGGAGGAGTTGGGAGTTGGTCAGGAGGAGCCGACAGTTGTGTTCTGTGACAATGAGTCTGCTGTGAAGCTCGCCAAGAATGCTTGTCTGCATGGGCTGACAAAACACATAAGGCCTAAGTGGCACTGGGTGAGGAGACTCCTTGATAAGGAGGTGCGGCTGGAGATAGTGAAGACCCATCAGCAGGCAGCAGATATTTTCACCAAGCGTCTGGCGGAGGCGGATCATTGGAAGGGCATGAAGCTTGCTGGGATGAGTGTGCATTGAGTATGCATGCTTGAGATGTGGTATGGTGGATGATGGTTGGCAGCCAGAGGGGGAGATTGTTGTGTGATGTCATCATATGCTATCACATTCTGTCTGCCTCCCATCCCATGTTTTCAACTTGCATGTGTGGTTTGAATGTGCAAGCATTTGTGTGGTGTGTGTTCTGGAGTTTGGGAATGTGTTCTGTATTATTTTTGTTTGAGCAGGTATTTGTGATGATAGATCTTGAGAAGATCTTTCCGACGCAACAAGAATCGCTTCAATCGGAGCAAGAACGCGAAAGCTATGAAGATTCAAAGTTCATGAGCTTGCGTTACAATTGCGGCGGTTACTAAGTGAAGTTGTGGGGTGACTTTATATGGAGTTGGGACCTTTGGGGTTGGGGAAACTTGTCACTCTACTGTAACAGCTGCAAATAGGTTGGGAACAACCAAGCTAGGTTGGCAAGGGTGGCCAACTTGGATGGATTGGTTGGGAAGGGACAAAGGTCAAAGTTGAGGTTCCTATAGGGAGGGAATCTTTGTGCTTATGGGGTTTCCTTGGTTGGGGACTCTCTTGGGACCTTCCCTCTCATCCCTCTCCTCCTATCCCAACCTTTCTCTTGCTCCTTCTAATTCCTTGTGAGATTCTTGAACTTTGATTGAACCTTTGAGATTGAGTTAAGTTCTCCTCCTACAGCTTACCCCCTAGTGCGTCGAAAGCCATAGCGTCGCGAATACTTTATCAATCAACATGATTCAAATTGGGAACGGTAGCTGAGATTAGGAGCTACAACATATCCAAGTTTCGCGACATTCCAACGGCTAGTTGTTTGTCGACGTCGTTTCTTGTGAAGACGACTTTTCTGTCCAGAATTTCGGATTTATATTTTGAGTAATTCTAGCTCCTAAGTTCACCTAGACTCCGTCCTTAATCCTAACAGAGCGCCCCACCTTAGTGCACCCCGCCCCTTAGAGCGCCCTGCCCTTAGCGCGCCCCTCCCCTAGCTCCCCGCGCTTGCCCTCACTCGCCGCGCTGGCCCTAGCTCACCGCGTCAGCCCTAGCTCGCCGGCCCCTCCTTGCCGTGCTGGCCTCTGCTCGCCGCAGTGGCCCCACCTCGCTGTGTTGGCCCCAGCTCGCCGCGTCTGCCCCAGCTCGCCACCGGCCCTAGCTCGTTGCGCCGGTCCCAGCTTGCCGCGCAGGCCCTAGCTCGCCGCGCCGCCCCAGCTCGCCACGTCGGCCCCAGCTCACTGCGTCGGCCCCAGCTCGCCGCATCGGCTCGAGCTCGCCGCGCCGGCCCCACGCCAATTCCAGCTCGCCTCGTCGGCCTCAGCTCGCCGCGCCTGCCCCAGCTCGCCGTGTCAAGCCCAGCTCGCCGAGTTGGTCCCAGCTCGCCGCGCCAACCCCAACTCGCCGCGTCGGCCCCAGATCGCCGCCGGCCCCTACTCGCCACGCTGGCCTCTCCTCGTCGCGCCGGCCCCTACCCACCGTGCCAGCCCCTACTCGCCACGCCAGCCCCTGCTCGCCGCTGCCGGCCTCTCCTCTGTGCCGGCGCTCTCACTGGCTGTCTGCTGCTCTCGCGTGTTCACAACTCCCCACCGCAATCCACCACACTCCATCTCTCTCCACCGCTATCCACCGCACTCCACCATACCCGCTTGCTCCCTGCTCCTCCTCCTGCGTTCTACAGCTGCTGTAGCTGTGCGTGATAGCGGACGTCGTTCTCCATCTGGATGCAGAGGGTAGTGCGGTGAATTTTGAGGCATGGCTTACTGACCTGCGCTGCCAGCTGAAGGGTCAGCGCCAGGATGGCCAGTCTCTGGCCATCCATGTCGACCGTAAGCTACCCTGGACCCCCCCTACCTGTTGCTCTCACTGACGCCATGCCTACTGAGCGTGAGGTTTTCACAACTGCCGAGCTTACTCGCTCTGTCTGGGAGTCGCGTGACGCTACTGCGCAGCTAGCTATTAGTCACGCCCTCCCACTGTCCAAGCGTCCCTTCTTTCAGGCCCTAGAGACGGCAAAGGAATACCCAGATGCTGTTATCGCTTGCTATTCCACTCCCTCCTCTGCCTCTGCTGGTCACCTTCGCTTGCCGTTGCTCTTCCCTGACTTAGCTTCCTTGACCTTTGCCGCTGATCTGGCCACTCACCTGCGCATTCTCGAGTCTAGATGCCTCACTGCTAGCACTGAGGCTCAGCTCACTGTATTTCCTCCTTCTATCGACGCCACCCTTTATTTCCCCACGTGCCTCCCTGACAGCCTAGCCACTGCCCGTGACACCTTCCTTAGTCTCCACCCCTGTGACCTCACCCTTAGCGACTTTGTCGCCACTCTGTCTACGATAGAGACCCACCACCGCAGTATTGCTAAGTCTAGCGGTACTGCGCGGTCCCTATGTTCCAGGGATGTGCTCCCTCTAAGTGCACTTACTCTGACGTTTCCACCGCTGTCACTGAGACAGTGCCTGCCGCTGAGACCACTGCGACGGCCTCAGCACAGCCGCATCAGGGTAGGGGCACTCACCGCCCCAAAGGGGGGCGTGGGGAAGTGAAGGGTGGTGGGAGCGCTGGGGGTGTGGACGTGGGGACGAAGGCTGACGCCCCACCAGAGCAGCAGCAGCAGCAGTCGTGGGGGCCCCCGCCACCGTGGTGGCCAGGAGCCTTCGGTGGTGGTGGCCGCGGAGGCGGCCCCTGCAGCTCGACGTTGGGTGGTGGCTCCAGTTCGGTGAATTGCCAGTACCAGATCCAGACTGGTCCACTTTGTGGCACCGTCTGCACCTGCACTAGTCACACCGCCGCCTGCTGTTACCACCGCCTCGACGACCTCTTTCGTCTGCGCTTCGGGCCCGCTTCGTAGCCTGGTACGTCGTTGCGTGCCGATCTATGAGATAAATATGGATCAGATATGATCTGCTATTTATGCTACAGTATGTATGCTGATAACTGTAGTGTCACTTGATCCTATTATTGGACTATGCCTAGACTAAAGGCTTTTGCTCTGTGTAGTCTAGGCTCCCTTACTACGGCAAGTAAAGGACATTCTGTCTTGTGTAGTCTTGGTTCCACACTGTGATAAATGTGTAGTATTCTGTGGTGTAGTTTGCTCTAGCTGGTTGTGGGCTATTGGGTTTTGGGCAAAAGGACTTGGGTTGGTTGGCAAGGTTTGAACTCGTTACCTTTCCAACCCATACAACCTCAAATCCACAACAACATCTATGATGTTGCAGTCATGGCACTTGAAAGTGTTGGGGTTTGGTCTAGGGCAAGGGTTGGTGGTGTTTGACAATCACATACTGCCACTTTTCCAGATCGAACTGCTTCCCTTCTCGTTTTTACTAGGTGATTCATGGCTGCCTAGCCAAATTACCAGAATACCCCCTCACACTGATTTCGTCATAATCGGCGGCTCAGATCTTGGTTATGAACGTGCTTTACCATTCTGAAAAGTAGAGATTAAGACCTTTTCAACGCGTATAAGCTCATTTCTAGAAGTTACCTGAGCAGCACGCAATGATCCGTTGAGGTCGTCAGACTTAATCTCTAATTAGTTCTCTCCAGATTTGCACGATTTCCATCACACTGGTGCCCCTGCCGGCAGACGCTGCCGCCACGGTCTCTTCACGCTGGAATCTGGTGCGTTTGCCTGATTCTTTCGTGACCACACCACTCTCACGCTGCTTTCAGCACCAGCAGCAGTCTCCCTTGCCGACCCCTCCTCTGGTTCGGTCGTCCCACGTAACTCCACCACCCTTTACTGTCCGGCGATTCTCTCAGGCTCTCTCCACTGAGGTCTCCCCCCACCCCTGTTCCTTGTCCCCACTCCCCCGCTAGCTCCCACTCCCCTCTCTCCCCGTCCTGCCTCGTCTAAAATCTAATTCACTCCACTTTCTTCGGTTGGCTCGGTGGAGGAGTCTGCTGACTCCGGGGGCCCCGGTGCCTCCTCCGCCACCGCAGCAACAGCAGTTGCCACCACCGCAGCAGCAGTTTTAGCCGCCGCAACAGCAGGGGTCGGTGGGCTCTGGGGGTGTTGGATCTGGGGGTGCTGGTTCTCAGGGGGGTGCTAGTTCTGGAGGTGCTACTCCTGGGGGTGCTGTCGTAGCGAGTACCGGGGGTAGCCATGGTGCAGTTGGAGGTCTTGGTGTGGGCGCGGAGCAGCAGCAACAACAGCAGCAAGCGCAGTAGCAGCGGCGGCCAATGTCCGCTCTTCGCCTCCTCGGTCTTCCCTCTCCCGACCAACCGCCCGCGCCTCCCCCAGCGCCGCCTCCTCCTCCCGTCTACGGCCTCGTGTTCCCTCTGCCGTACTTGCCTCTGGCTCATTTCCCCGCTCGTTCTACTATAGTTTCTCCTCCTTGGTCTCTTGACCCGATGCTTCTCTCCCACTTCTTTTCTCACCGTCTCTCTCGTGCTCGCCTTGTCTCTCCATTCTCACACGTCTCGTGCTCCTCCCGCTCCTGTACTCCCCTCGCCTCCTCAGTCGTCCCTCGCTGTCTCCTCTCCTCTCTCTGACCTCCTACGTGCCGCTAGCCTTCGTGGTCATTGTGTCCTAGCCTCTCTCGTTACCGACCAGTCCATTCCTGTCCCAATTCTCTCGGCTCTTGTGGCCTCTAGGGCCAACACAGATGATATCTTTACGAAGGCACTTGCACCTAAAGATCATCAGCGACACTATTTACAGCTTTGTCTGATTCCGGTAGCTCCTCACTTGCTAGGACCGTGACTTGTGTACTACTTCTAATATTATCTTTGTAAGAAATCGAGCTGAAATGATTAATGAGGTAAGGAGCCCAAGGCTCTATAAGTACATGGCAAGCTGAGAGAGAATGGATGAAGGGGGGAATTGGATGGAATCCCCATTGGGATCTTCGGAATCTCCAATTGCGTAATC